CTATTGTGGGCACCAGAATTTTCTTTCCTTGTTAAACTAAAATTGAATTAACATAAGCTAGAGTCTCCCTATGGGTCTGTCTCTGTGGTCCGGGCCACAGGATCACATTATAGGTGAAACTGCCTCTGAATAAAGTCTTTTGCTACTTTCATAACTGAAACCCCACTGATGGGGTTCAAGGAGGCCCTGAGTCACATTGAATTCTGCTCCATAATGAATGGTGTTAGAGCGGTTTTTCAAGGTAGTTTCTAGAAGGAACTCTCTAAGTGTCCTCTATTTGAAGGACTCTACATGAAGACAGTAGATTTTAGTTAGATAATGATGCTGTTACTTGTTAAATGGATTTGCAAAGAGACCTCATACCCTATAGAGCTTAAAAAAAAACTCAAAATAATTACTATGACTAATGTGAAAATATGTTTAATATGAATGTAAATGTATAGCCTATATCAGATTATGCACTGTCTTGGGGAGGGTGGTGGGGAGGAAGGGGGAGAAAATTTTAAACTCAAAAGCATATGGAAGTGATTATTGATAAATCAAAATAAATTAATAAAAAAAGAAAAAACAAAATAATTACTATGTAATTACGACTGAAGTTATAGACAAATCATTGCAAATGTATGCCAATGTGTACAGCAGGGGGGTATTTACAATTCTTTTTATTTACTTTATTGTAATTCCTGTCTGCTTATTTTTTTTTCTTTATTTTTCCTCCCACCTGAATAGCTCTCCATGTGGAAACTCTCTCCCAGTAATGAGGTTCTACAATTCTTCTATAGCTTATAGTCTTAGTGGCTGGAGGAACAGAAAGGTGATGGGAGTTTCTCATCATGTGATTGAGGCAGAATTTGAAATCTGGTCTTCCAGTTTCCAACTCCAGACTTTTATCTACTAAATGAGTAGTTCTTCAACTTTTGTATATCAAGACTCCTTTACACGCTTAAAAAATTAGTGGATGTTTTCTTGGATTCATATAGAGTTCCATAAACAAATAAAAAAAATTCTCTACTATTTTTGTAATATGTTGCATTCCAATATGAATTTCAATATGTAATATTGCAGTATGAATTATTGCAATGTGAAAATAATGCATTGGAGTTGTTGCAATTATAATAATAGCAAGACATAGTTCAGGAGCACTGGATACCACATGAGCTCAGTTAGGAAGACCTTGGTTCAAGTCCAGCTGTGTGACCCTGGGCAAGTCATAATACCTTTGTCTCAGTTCCCTCATCTGTAACATGCATATAATAATAGTACCTACTATGCAGGGTTGTTGTAAGGCTCAAATGAGAAAATAATTATAAAGTGCTGAGCACAGTGTCTGGCACATAGTAGGCACTCTGTAAGTGTTGCTATTGTTATTATAATTATTTCCACCTCAGATCCACACTACTCCATTACTCTGGGCAAGGATATCACTTAACTTCTCAAACCTCCAAGGCAATGTTATGGTATTTGCTTATGGAACTCCTAGAATACAAGAAAACTGGTACTAAAACAAGGAGGCTCAGATATTTCCTATAATGGTATAATCTTGAAGTAGGAGGTAAAAAATCTCATCTTTCTGGGATCCAGAATGCATGGATCATTATGAGATTAAGAATGGGCTTAGGTGACACTAACCCATTTATCAAAATGAACATTTTCAACTAACCCATTGGTTATTTGGAAGCATCCTCACATTGGCATTGTTTAGACAAACTTCTACTTGATTGACTCCTTTCCACTTCCCAAGTGATGTTTTTTTGGCAATGTATGACACAAATTTAGCCACAAATCTACGCTCTCTCTTTTAATCAGGTCATTTGAAAAGCTGAGATTGGGCATTTGTTTTTTGCCCCTTTTTCATCTTTTTTAGGGAATCACCTCTTCTTGATTTGTGATATTGCTTATCCTTCATTCTTTTGTGATAATAAATGGCTTAAAGTAGGGTAGGTGTTATTCATAGGTGTATGTGACTATTCTTTAGGTGGCGTGATTTTACCTGTATAGCTAAAATACTTTTGCTAGATTGAAACCTGAAATTCCAGCTTTCATTCTTTCCCTTTTGGGACCCATTAAAACACAAACATGCCTAGGACAGACCATATGAACCATTCACATGTCTTCACTGTGAATTAAAAATATAAGAGCAGGTCACAATAGGAAATCGTTTTGGGGGAGAGAGGTTGAAGGAAGGCTGGAAGTAGGGGACAAACACTACTTAAAAGGGAATTGGGTAGGAGACAGAAAACCCTGAAGACTAATTTCTATTTTCCCTAATTTTTACCTGATTGTGTCCTAAATGACAAGGGAAGAGAACCGTTCCTGTGTGTGTTTCCTTTTTTAAAATACATTATTTCTTTGCATACCTATCCTAATTGTTGTTATTGTTGTTGATCCTTCATTTTCAAAGAGGACCGATGACATTACTGAGTGATGTCTTGACTTGTGAGTGAATTGGATTTAAGTGAGGCCGAGTTGCACATAGTTATCAGCCTCAATCTCTCTTCCAGAGTCACCAAAGTCCAGTGGCAAAACGAAAGTCTCTTATACTATCTCTCCACTGAACAACAACAAAATATATGCAAACACAAATACACACAAATGTAAAAAACAAATTGTTGTTGTTCAGTCATTTCAAAGTCATGCCTACTCTTTGTGATCTCATTTGGGATTTTCTTGGCAAAGATACTGGCATGGTTTGACAATTCCTTCTTCATCTCATTTGCTAGATGAGAAATTGAGGCAAACAAGGTTAAATGACTTACTTAGCGTCACATAGCTGGTAAGTGTCTGAGACCAGATTTGAACTTAGATTTTCCTGACTACAGGCCTGGAGTCACTAGGCCACTTAACCGCCAATAGAAAATCAAACAAACAAACAAAACAGAAGCAAAAATAACAAAACCCTCACAAAGATTCACAGAGCAGCAAAATGAATTCCTTTATTGGGCGTATAAGAAAATTCATATTTTTTTCTGCATTTTAAGTTAATCAATTCTGGCAAGCAGACAACAGTGTGTTTCATCTTCAGTCTTCAGGTCTCTTGGTTTATCAGTGTACTGATAATAACTCTGAAGTCTTTTAAAGTTGTTTTTCTCTATGTTGTTGTCATTGTATACATTTCTCTAATGTTGCTGTCACTGTATAAAGTGTTCTTTAAGTTCTGCTCACTTTGTTCTGCATCAGTTCATTAATGTCTTCCCAATTTCCTCTAAAATTATCCAGTTTGTCATTTCTTATGGCACATTAATATTCTATAATATTCATTGACCACAATTTCTGTCACTATTTCCCAATAGGAGGATAACCTCTATAGAGTTTCAAATTTTTGGCTATCATGAATGAGCTGTTATAAGTAATTCTTGTATATACTTGGCAACTTTCTGAGCATGATTCCAAATGACTGGACCAATTAATAGCTATATTAACAGTAATCCTAGCTGGTGCCTTCCCTCCCTTCTCTTCCTCCACCCCTACCTTTCAGCTCCCTTTTGTATTCCATCTTCCCTCTTTAGAATATTCTTGAGGGCAGGGACTGTATTTTGCTTTATTTTATTTCCCCAGACAAGATGCCTGGCACATAGTAGGGGCTGAATGCTTAATGACTGACTATTCTTTAGTTTTTAAGAATTGTCAGAACAACCTCCTAAAGGTAGGGCCACTCACCAAGTATAATGAAAAATCATAATGTTTGAGTGTCATATGTAAGACTAATACTCCTAAATTTTCACTTTTAATTCTACCAAGAGAGTATAACATTAAATAATTCAGCATATTTTATCAAATTCAGCAAACATTAAAATGACTACTATGTGCAAAGCCTCATATTAGGAAACAAAGTTAGACATAAGTTAGGTAGCTTAGTTGAAAGAATGTTAGACTTGAATTCCACTTCAGACACTAACCAATTGTGTAACCGTGGGCAAGTCACTTAATATCTCTCAGCCTCATTTTCTTTATCTGTGAAAAGGAGTGGGGGTTAGTAACAGCAAGGTTGTTGTGGGGATCAAATTAAATGATATATTCAAAGCATTTTACAAATTTTAAATTACATATTAGTTATTATTATATGACATACATTCTGATTTCTTTTTTTGTTTTTGTTTTTAAAGAGAAAATAGTATGCTTCAATTTGCATTCAGACTCCAGAGTTCTTTCTCTGGATGTGGATAGCATTTTCCCTCACGAATCTTTTGGGATTGTCTTAGATCATTGTATTGCTCAGAAGAGCTAAATCTAACAAAGTCAATCATTGCACAATGTTGCTGTTACTGTGTACAAAGCTCTCTTGGTTCTGCTCACTTCACTCAGCATCAGTTCATGTAAGCCTTTCCAGTTTTTTTTTTCTTCTGAAATCTGCCCACTCACCATTTCTTATGGAACAATAGTATTCCATTACATTCATATATCACAACTTAAGTCATTCCCCAATTGATAGGCATACACTCAATTTCCAATTCTTTGCCACCACAAAAAGAGATGCTTTAAATATTTTTGTACATGTGGGTTCTTTTGCCATTTTATGATCTCTTTGGGATATAGACCTAGTAGTGGTATTGCTGGATCAAAGGGTATGCGCAGTTTTATAGCCCTTTGGACATGATTCCAAATTGCTCTCCAGAATGATTGGATCAGTTCACAACTCCACCAATGAAACATTAGTGTCCCAATTTTCCCACATCTTCTCCAGCATTTATCATTCTACTGTTTTTGTTATGTTAGCAAATCTGATAGGTGTGAGGTGGTACCTCAAAATTGTTTTAATTTGCATTTCTCTAATCAATAGTGATTTAGAGCATTCTTCTTATGACTATAGATAACTTAATTTCTTTATCTGAAAATTGCGGTTCATATCCTTTGACCATTTATCAGTTGGGGAATGACTTTATACATACTGATTGGGGTTAACTGACTTGCCCAGAGTCACAGAGCTAGTGAGTGTTATGTGTCTGAGGCTGTATTTGAGCACAGGTCCTCCTGACTCCAGGGCCTATGCTCTATCCACTCACTGTGCCACCTCGCCGCTCCATAATCATTATATAATGATCATGTTATAAGTGCAAAGAAAAGGTCCAGACATGATACTTACATAAACTGGAAGAAGGAAGGCTTCCTGAAGTGAAAGGTAACCAAGTTGGGCCTTGAAGTAATGGACAGAGATAGTTACTGAGGCTTATTCCATCTATGGGAGATAGGCATTGATGGTAAGGGACAAGGTGTAATTGATGGACAAAGGGTTTAGCTAGAATGCTGAATGTGTGAACTGGAGCATGAAGAAAGTAGTCCAGGAAAGGTATGCAAGAGCCAGACTAGGGAAGCCCTTGGATGGCAAGCTCCAAAGGTTATTGAGTATAAAATAGGAGGCCACTGAAGGTTATTGAATATAGGAATAACTATTCATAGTGGTATAATAGACAGGTTGTTTGGGCAGTAAGTGTGAAACATAGAATGGAGAGGGCAGAGACATTCTAAGTGCATTGATTTAGGTAAGAAGTAGGTTACATGACGATGTAAAAAGTTGGGAAGGGGGCAGAAAGGAAATATTTCTGAGAAAAAAATTCATGAAATAAATCTTTACTAATATTTTGACTACTTGTTCTTATTTCTTTCTTTTGGAATGGATCAGAGGATCATAAATTTAGATTCAAGAGAAGAGATTTTAGAGGCCATGTAGTCTAATCTCCTCTCATTTTATAAAGAAGAAAGTGAGACTCAGAGAATTCAACTGAATTACCCAGTAGAGGCAGGATTTTAACTTGGGCCCTCCTGGCCCCACATCTAGCACTGTCCATTAGGCCATATTGCTTTATATAAGACAAGTCACTCAAACAGCCCTTTCACTTTAAAGGAACATGGAAATTATTGAACACATAAGCCAACCGTTTAATAAAGAGCAATTATTGTCTCTGTCTATGTGATCTTGTGCAAAAAGTTTTCCATTTAAACAAAGGCAATGTTTGAGTACGTACTAACTAAACCACTTTTAAATGGATTATACTTTCAGAAATCCACTTAAATATAAAATACTAATATTCCTAGTAAACATATAACATAGAACATTTGGTAATATTAACCATAGATATTAGCTATTTCATTATCTCATTTCCAATAAAAAACATTTCTTGTACTAGAAGAGACACAATGCAATGTGCCAAAAATAATTACTGAATTTTTTTAGTCAACAGAAAAATACTTGGAACTTAAAGGAATATTTTGCTGTTACCATTTAACAACTTAGAGTCTTGAAAATATAAATGTTGTTTAAGAATGAAGAAGGAATTCTTTTGCTAGAAGATCATGGATATGTCAGACTACTCTGAGTGTTTTAGCTTGTAAAACAAAACAAAAAAAATAGATTAATGAGCTTTTTTTAAAAAACAAAACAAAACAAACTGGAAATCCCATAAATATTTTGACTAAGCTATAAATTTTGCTCTAGTCCTTTTAAGATTTTCCTTTCCACATTTTTGGAAGAAGTGATAGATTTTGATTCAGATGCGCTGTTTGAATTTCAGCTCTGGCAGTTACTCCCTGCTTTGTGGGGCTTTGCCTTAGTGTAAAATGAGGTTGGTTTATCTGTAGCTTGCTTTCTTCCTGCCTGCCTTCCCGCCCACAATTCCATCCTTATCTATTTACAGAGTACAAGTATTACATGAAGAGACTAGGTCATACATTTGATAGATGAGATTTGGGATTAAGAAGACCTGGTTTTGGATTCTGTCTCAGACATTAGCTGTGTGGCCATGGACAAGTAACTTAACCTCTCTCACCTTTGGTTTCTTCATTTGTAAAAAATGGGGATAATACAGAACTTACCTCATAGGTTTGCAAAAAAGTGTAAAGCACTCTGTAAACCCTAAAGTGTTATACGAATGCTATCAATTATTCATTATTATTAATAGCAATAATAATAAAAAGAACCATAATTTAATCCAGGAAATTGTAAGAGAAATGATCTTTTATATGGGACTTACAAAAACATTAAGTTGCATTGTTTTGGGGGATGTTCAACTCTTACTAAAAAAAAGAGAGAGAGAAATGGAAGCTAACATATTCACCACCGTAAGTTAGCTATGCAGAATTCAACTGATGAGTGAACTAGCTGAGGACCTGTACTAAGCTGATTCAGTCAGCCGGTATCAGTGAAAAATCACAGTGATAGGTACAATTTTTCAGAGATTGGAATTAGGTACTAAGTCTCCTGAGATCAATACAGGTAAAAAATCAAAACGAGATTCCACATTTAAAGCTTCAAGAATTTAAGGACATTTTTTTCAAGTGTTCTGTCAACAAATAATTTGAATACCTTCTGCAGAGTCAAAAGAAAGTTCACTGGTGAGCAAGAATCAGACTAGAGAGAGAAGAACCTTAATTTTAGATGCACTTTAGAGCTTCCAGACACTATTTGCATGAGTTCCACTTGACTGCATTGGATAAACTGTTAAGTTTTGACAAACTACTGCAAAAATAGCTTTTTTCCCCCTTTAATGCAAAGCAAGTCTTCCTTCTCATATGGTCTTTCAAGTCATAATGACATTTCCAAAATGAGGGTTTAGGACAAAGGAAAATGGTCCTAATTTGAAGTCAAATGACCTGGATCTGCCACTTAATACCTGAGTGATCTCTGAGTTACTTAAATTCTCTAGGCCTAAATTTTGGCAGCTGTCAATTACGGGATTTCATTAGAACATCTCAAAGGTCCCTTCTAGCTCTAAATCTATCTATCCTATACAATTTTAAGATATGTAAATGAATATGTTGCCTAACTGAAAATGCTTTGAAATGAAAAGTAAATTCACCCCCAAATAATTACTAGCTTCAAGAGAATAAACTGTATTTAAGTAAATGTATTTTAAAAATAGGAATGGAGGCATGAGGTGGAAGGTACAGTAGGAAGACCACTGAACTTGGAATCACAGGGCATAACCATGAAAATACTAAGGCAAGCAAATGCAGGGATGGAAGGAAGGAAGGAAGGGAGGGAAGGAGGGAGGGAGAGAGAGGGAGATGGGGGGGAGAGAGAGAGAGAGAGAAAGAGAGAGAGACAGAGAGACAGAGAGACAGAAAGAGAGAGAGTCAGTCATCTTAGGTCTATATTTTTCTAGTTCTGCAGCCACTTTAACTGAATTTGGCCTGACCCAGCCAATGCAAGCCAAATGAGATAATTCCCAGTAGGTAAGTTTAGAGTCAAATCCATATTTTTGGGTATGGTTGAAAAAGGTGTTACTCATTTCATTTGAACTTAGATGGACATTAACTACCCTTAAACAGCTTTGCACATATGGGGAGAGATCCAATCCAATACTTGTGAGGCTGGAAACTAAATTGGACAATTTAACTGTGAGTCACAGTGCTAATCCTGTTTTATAGGTTATAAAGTCTATTTCCTGGCATTTAAACCGCCACCTTTAAAATCGCCTTTTAAAAGAGGCAAGGTGATTGAAAAATGATCTAAAAGGAGAAAGGCATGAAACCAGGAGAAGATGAGTTAGGGACAAAAGCGTGAGTAGTCCTTTGAGAAAGAAAAAAGTCAGAGGGGAAGAGGCTATCTGACATCATAGGTGAGTGTGCAGTAGCTGATAAATAACTCAAGTTTCTGTCCATTCAATAACAGTCAGATCAGATCAGGAAAAACACCATCAATATGGATAGATGCATATATTTCACTCTTGCTGGACAATGTGTACCCACTAAGCATAATGGTGAACCATCTCTAAAACAAGAAGTGACATAAGATACAGCCCACAATAGTAATTACAAAACATTCCCTTAAAGACTAAGAGCCAAATAAATTCTTCAGCCTTCATCCTTTTCCCTTTCCTCCTCCTCCACCTCCTATTTCTCTTCCCTCCTCACTAATCATCTTTGCAAGGGGAAGAATCTTCATCTTGCTCTCCTGAGAGGTTTTGCTCTCCTGAATGGTGATGTACTTTCTCAACACTATTTTAGAAGAGACCCCAAATAGACTTCAATTAGCTCTCCAGGCTTCACCTCCTCCCCACTATCTGCCTAGCTCCCTCTCCCCTTCCCAGCATCCCTTTATAAGTTGTGTTCCCTTAGTAAAATGTTAAGTTCCTTGATGACAGAGATTGTTTTAATTGTTTATATTTGTATCCAGGGTGCTTAACACAGTGCCTAGTCCATAGGAAATGATTAATAAAAGCTCTGTCTTTAGGATAAAGACCAGCTTTATTCATTGACAGAGTGTATAATTTGAGGAGACTGCAGGACCCCTGACTAAAAATGTTTTCCCACTGCTTTTCAAGAGGTTTATCTTCCTACTACTCTTCACCCTTTGTTAAGGTCACACATTAAGCCATTGACACTTCGGTATGAATTAACTTACTAGCAAGTCAATTACTTTAATAGACTGGAGGAAATAGATATAGGCAAAGTAAGATGTCTAATTTTTTCCAAGGAGGTGGGAGCCGGTGTTGAATTCAAGGAAGGTTTTGAATTTGAATTCAAGTCTAGAAAAGGCAAGGTTAGGTGTAGAACTACTACTTACTGGAAGAGATTCTGAGCAGCCATGAGGTAATATGGAGGCAGTGGAGAGAGATGGGGAAAGGGAGCCTAGGTTACAAAAGGATGACAACGATGCTGTAATAAAGGACATAGGAGAATGCTCAAAACACTTTTCAATTATTTCACAATTTTGCCTAAGGTCCAGCCCTGGTCCAAACCATTTATTCAATGTGCCTCCAACATTAAGTTTAGAAGTTAGCTATTATACAAGTATAAACCCTTATTAGAGAAAATCCAATTAAAGTTTATTTCCTCTATTAACAAGACTGTATTAATGTTAAGCTTTCACCTGTTCTCCGGTCACATGCCACAGGCATTAAAAAGGATCATATTTTCTGAAAGTACTTTGTAAGTTCTTTTTTTTTTTCTTTTTCAGAAATTGTCATTAAAAGCTAAACTCTCTAACTACAATCACTAAACACAGTAGGATGGACTTTACATTCAGTCAGTTGAAAAGCGTATGATTATGTAACTGTCCAAAGGAAGTTGGGATGACTTCTCCATT